TCTTGATACTGTTCCTAAGAACCAGTGTTCACACACTGTGGCGTGTCTCATGAGGACCTGAGAAATGGCTGTTCAACAGTTCGGAGACCTCTGCTGACTCTTTGAGACAGATATGTTTGTTGCCTTTCCAACAATAAACAGAACAAGATTCCACCTATAAATCTGGACCAGAAATGAGCTGTTCATTAGATTTGTGTGAAAACTCTAAACTCGCATGAGAAGATCAACACCACTTTTATAATTTCTCGATAAGAGCAACCTGGTAGCTTGGTTTTGTATAAAGACTGGAAATTCTGGCTCTTTACAAAGTTAACAAAAAGCACCTCTAAGGCTCACTAATTGAAATGTTTCATCTCGTTCGTTTAATCCAAATGAAGCTGCGGGTTTACAAGGGCTTATGTGTCAGACTATTTCTGGTTATTTAGTTTGTTCTAGAGGGGGTGGTGGGTGGATTTTGTTAGCGGACAGAGCCAGGCTAACTGTTTCCACATTTCCGGTCTTTATGCTAAGCTAAGCTAACCAACAGTTATGAGAGTGGTATCGATCTTCTAATCGAACTCCCACCAGGAAAAACAAATAAGCACATTTCCAAAAATGTTGCAACTATTGCTTTAACATTTTTACGTACTTTTTCAGTCTTTATGGTAAGCTAACCGGCTGCTGGCGGTCGTCGTATCTTATCGTCTAGCTCCTCAGCAAGAATGTGAATGAGCGTATTTCCTCAAACTTTGAAGTCTCCACATCTGCTGTGAAAGGCAAAGAAACCTGAAAATATTCCGGTCAGCTTTGCCTGTCTGCCGGGAAAAGACTAATTCGAGATGTGGCAGCCAAATCAGGAAATATCAAGCGTGCACGTTTGACCGGTTGCTCCATATGCCCTTCGTCCTGCCCGGAGGCCCTCGTCTGACCTGCCTCCCGGTTCTCATCTGTCACCTCGGCAATGATTGGCATGGCCACAGGTTTCCTGCTCCAACACGAGAGCCCATCTTCAAAGTAATAGCTTACAGCTGCTGCCTGGATAATCCTCATCCCCTCTGTCTTTGAAGGGATGCGGTGACATAATAGCCCGGGCTATTCTTCCCTAAATTGTTTTGGTGGTTCTCTGAGTGTTGTTCAATAGCAAAAGGGGAGTAGGTGAGACTGTTGCACGTGTTGCTAAATGTAGCATGATTATCAAGCGCCATAAGCAGCTCCATACTCCCCGCTCCCCCTCTTCTCTCTCTTATTCTTCTGAGTTTCTTTTATCCCGCCCAGTCCTCCTGATGCTTATCACTGCGGCAGAAGCATTAAATGTAATGTCTGTAGAAGGGAAATCATTGGCAACATGTGGTGAGAGCTTAAGATGTTGTCACACTTTAAGTTGCCTATAATCTGTTCAAAGGGAGACTGCATAGTTCTCCAAAGTGCCTGGAAAAGGGGGGAAGAAGAAGAGCAGCAGAGAGGCCGAGGTCTCTCAGCTGCACTTGGCTCGGCTGAAGTGTTCATCAGACAAAATAACTGTCGGTCCCCGTTGGCTTTTGTCTTCTTCATAAGGCTCTTTTTTGTTCTCGTCTTTGTTTTTTAGCATTTGCTAAAAGCACAGCTCGTAGCGGTACAAGCCTCGGCAGTGTGATAATCTGTCACGGAGAGGAGGAGAAAACCATAGATAACGTAAGAAAGGACAGACAAGGGATTACAGGTATGTGGACACAGGATTAAAAAGAAGGACGTAATGATTCCTCTGGGAGAGAGCTATGTGCTGAGATGGGCTCTTTTTTTCCTTTATGAGTCCAGTTCTGGGGAGGCCTGGGTAAATATTGACAGTTCTCTCTGCTTGAGATGCAGCCATTGATCCGCACAGGAGGGTCTCATCGCTTGATCTGTGCGCTCAGGTGTGGGAGGAGGGAAAGCAAGAGCCAGGACGTGGGCTGTCATGCTGGTGGTCTTTTTTGTGGTGTCTTTTAAACACAGACTATAGCTTAAGGGTGCTGATCAGCCTGCCTCTGCGACACCGGGAGTCATGTTACCCAAGCAGCTGAACGTCCAGAAAGTGGATTTTAGGTGAATACCAGTCTTAGTGTGACGGGTCACTGGGATCAAGTAGAGGCAGAACGTTGTAAATGATCAGCTAAATCACTTTAAAGTCTGATTCCACTCACATCTACAGCACTTTGATATCTTTAATATCCCAGTAGAGCTTTGCAGAGAGCTGTAAAGTCTCCTTTTTCCGCTAACGTTATCAACAGCCCCCGCTGATGTGTTTTTCTATATATAAAATCATCATTTACATCTTCTCCTCTGTCTCCTGTTGGCATGCTGGCCCACTGGTCTGGTCCTCAAACCCCTAATCAGGTAATGTTGGGGAGGTTGAATGGCGTGCCTCCCCCTGGTCAACCTTCACTGCTCACACAGTGGTGTTGTTTTAAAGAGCATTCTTTAGCAGCTGAACTTGGAAAGGTATTAAAGTGGGATTAGGCTCCTCCACAATCCACTGCTTGTGTCATTCAGGGAGTTTGTGTTCTCCTCTCCCCACTGCCACCTCCCCACTCCTCCTCTGTTTGATTGTGGCTAGCCGCAGGAGTGGGACTGACTGTGCCTTTCAAAGGAGAGGGGTAGGGTTAAATCCCTAGTCCACTGCTCCCTGCTAATTCTCCTTGTTCCTTAGAGAAGGATTTACTTCTGCTGCCAGCTTCTCAAAGGCCTTCTCTGCCCATCCGAAAAGTCGCCGTTGCCTTCCTGTGGAGGTGTGGTTGCCATAGAAGGGGCGTCATGCATGGCTATTCCATCTGAACCCCGCTGAGAATGGGGACCGGGGACTGAAAACAGGCAGAAAGTCCGGATTAGACCCGAGGACAAAGCAGGACAGGAAGATTCCAGAAGGGACGAATAGGAATTACAGCAGCAAAAATAATGCAAAGTGACAGAGAGGGGAAATAGAAAAATAATGGCTTACAAGATTAGACTCGGCGAGGAGAAAGAAGAAAGGAAAGAGGGCTGAATGAGAATGTTTTCATCTAGATGAGAAGATTTGAGAGAGCGGTCGTAGGTGAATGCGGAGTCCTGGACGTATCAAAACCGCGCTAACAAGTCATTTCCTCAACTTTTTGCCCTCTTTCTTAGCCTAAGCCGGCAATCATTAGCTAAACATTAGAGTTAGAGCTGGGAACTTGTCTTGACAGATTCATCACCTCTTTTCCCTGATCCCAGCATGTAACACGCTAATCTCTCTAAAAACTAGAAACAAGTCCCCGAAGATTCAGTTTATCTTTACAAGAGTGTGTCGATGTAAGATTTCCTTTTTTAATTTTTTTTTTCACTTTTTTTTTTTGTTGTTGTTCTTGCCTTTTTGTTTTTTAGCGTCCAAACTTGGAGGTTTGTTTAGAAGATAGATCCAGGTTGGCAGGTCACTTAAACTAGAACCCTGCTTGTTTGAGAAACATGCCAACATTTCTTTTTCAAGGGATTATCCTTGAGGTTTTTCCATAGTTGAATAATAATCTTCTTAACTTATTGTAATAAATGGAAGATTAAAGGATTTTATGAACCCTGTGAGTGCCAGTTTCTGACATCTCTGCTGTTTTGCTGCTGCATGATGGTTAAAAAGAAAATAAGATGCTATAAGTGGTGTTTTCTGTGCCAGACTGGTGGTGATTTTGATCACAACGGATGAAACTAGCACCATTACCTATCAATTGATGTGATGTAATTAAGATAGCATAAAATTTAGCTCTCCCGATGCCGATCTGATGAGCAAAAGTGAAGCGATTATTGTAAAAAGCTGCATTGACAACAACAAAAACCACATCGTCTTGTTTCCAGCTTGCATACAGCTGCTCATACAAGTGTGAACACACAGGCACACACACACCATATCAGTACTCAATCAGCACCTATAACAACATTACCATAACAAAACCATCCTTTGGTTTCCCTCCGCTCATATTTACACATTATATTCATCACTATCGCTCATCCCTGTCCCGAACCAGCAGATGATGTCAATTGCTCCTCTTGCTGCCTCCCTGCCTTGCACAATGAAATAGATGTTCACCACAAATAGATAGGCGGTTGCCAGCTGTCTTCCAGACCAGGGCAAACAAAGAGGCCGCTAATAAATCCAGCTTTACGGCTGGACAAGATCAACCACACTCCCTGCCTTCTTGCTCCATTTAATGTGGCTTCTTCTGAACAACAGAGAACGAATTAAATGCCTCTCAGTCACCAATAAAACAATGCAAACATCTTCCTGAAAGGACATAAAAGAAGATGGAGGCGTTGTCTAGGAAATGGTGATAGAGGCAGTGTTGCACCATAGAGGCGTGATATTAGACAGTAAGATGAAATATGAACAGACTAGAGGGCAGCCCAGTAGTCAGCAATGAATCATGGTCTGATATGGTATCTGATGCACAGAGTATCGAGGGTATAAAAGAAATGTGTAAACTGTCAGTAAAGGCTTGATTGGGATCGTGAGGATTTGGTGATCACTGCACTAGAACATGATCCAGCCTCTTTTTTAGATCCGTGAGGAGGTTTGGGTGCCCATGACTGAGCTCGCTTGGAATGACGCGGGGCCGGGCCCACCCTAGAAATTTTAACAGATGAGCTGCTGCCAAAGGAGTCACCTCCTTGGCTGCCCACAGGATCAGCAAGCCAACTTGACTCTTAATCAAAAACCCTTGATGGGAAGAAGTCAAGAAAGGCTATGGGACAGAATAAAGCCACACACCTCGCACAAAGAAAAGTGAAACTTTTGCTGATCAGCAGCCACTGACGAGGCACAATTACAATATAACAGTAAATAGCAAAACATAGTGTTGATGTAGCACAAGGAAAGAAGAGTCAGTGAACTCAATATCTAACTAATTTTTTAACATTAGCCACCGTAAGCTGCTGGTCATAGCAGACCAAGTAAGCCTAAGAGTGTATTTAATTGAGCAAGGGTGCACTTTATTTACTGAATCTAACCTTTCATATATAAAACAACCTACAATCTTTTTCTTTTCTTATTGTTGCTGTAGGTTGTTTGCGACCAAGTGCAGTGGCTGCATGGAGAAAATCGCCCCCACAGAGTTTGTGATGCGCGCTCTGGAGTGCGTCTACCACCTGAACTGCTTCTGCTGCTGCGTGTGCGACCGGCAGCTGAGGAAGGGCGACGAGTTTGTCCTGAAGGAGGGCCAGCTGCTGTGCAAGATCGACTACGAGAGGGAGAAGGACTTACTCAGCTCGGTTAGCCCGGATGACTCAGACTCAGGTGAGCCCTCTGCACCCTCTCGCACAAGAGTGAGAACGACACCGTGGTGCTATCATCATATGGCACCAGGGTGTTGTATTCTGTATGCTCTGTTCCATCACAGTGGCAGCCAACATAGACATCCACCATAATGGATCTAAACTGAATCAAACTGGTTTTCGTATGGTAGTAATATTACAAGAAAAAAACAATATTAAACTAGTTACCAGATCATTTGCTGGAACATCTGAGATTTTCAGAGATCTTGCATGCAGCCCAGGCAGTAAAAACTTCTAACATATCTCCATCTGCAGCTTTTCAATGGCTGGTTTTGCAGCATTCAAGCGGGGGGGGGGCGGGCGCGTAGGTTTATGATACAGTAGGAAGTGGAAACAGGACGAAGCCAAGCCACCCTGTATTAATGGCTCTCTATGCGTGGGCAGGGTCTGGTGCTGGAAAGAATTAAATCACTGTATCATGGTGAGTGACAGAGGGATTTGGGGCCTTTCTGCAGAAAGCCTGCTCCACTACTCTTATCAGCTCTAGTGTTCCTCGCCTATAGCCTCCACACACAATGAGGCATCTCGCCAAGCCTCACTGTTCACTACCATCTGGCTCACATTTAGACATGCACAAAAGCAGGGAATTTGTCAAATACATCTGTGCCTGTGTCAACTTTTGTCAACTTGTGGGAATATTTGCTCTGCGTCTCCCTCGTTTGGTTGCGTCCCAGCGTATCGCGCAGGCATGTCTTTTGTGTGCGCGTCTCCCAAGTTTCAAGATGGAGAAAATGCCGACATGAACAGAGGTTAACCTTGGCATGTGGCGGATGAAATGTAGGTTTTTCGGTGGAGAAATGTAGATGCGTATCAGATAACAGGAGACACTGAAGCATCATGTGTGCCTCTCCTTACAGCCCCAGAATCATCAGGATTCATTAACAACACGGCTGGTTTTGATTTGCAAACACACGTTGTCAACCCCACACAGAAGGATAATTAATGTTTTTTTATTATTTCATTTATTTTTCATGTTATGTTTACATAGCTTTGTGGTCTTTGTGGCAGATGAAACTGAAATGCATGAGTCATTACAGAATTTCTCCAATGCTTTGAATTAAGTCACATATTTAATACTATGTGTCATGCCACGATTATTCAGCCAAAGAATAGTTTAAACTCATTTAAAATTATAAGAAAAGATTTTTATGAACATATTAATTGACATGTAATAGAGGATACACTTTAATATAACAATTTTCATGTGTTTTTGTGCTGTTTTCAGTACAAGCTAATGAATGATTATTGCATTTAATTTCAGAATTACTCTTAGGTAATGATTTTTTCTGGGAGAGTATTGAATATGTAGTTATTATGTGTAAAAGCTGCAAACAGCAAGCGACTTTAATGTAAAAAAATAAACTAACAGACATTTCCTTAACAATAGAAATCTAATAAAACCGAGTTATTATTTTGTTTTAATGGCACATTGCCGGATAGAAGCATAAAACTTACACCGATTTTACTACCCAAAACTGTAATATCCTGCTGCTGACAGTAAAAATCTAGCAATCCATATGAAAGTTGTCATTATTTTAAGCTCTGAAATAGAGCTAAAAATTGGACTTTCTTGCTGTGTCATGGGAGATGCATTCCCCCCGTTTGCTTTTTCATGTTGCACTTGATGTAGTATTCTTATCAGAGATTGATTTAGTGTAAATCAGACAAAGCTGAGTGCAATAAATTACAAGTGACGCAGTGTCCACTTCAATGACAAATGTGCATATTTCACTGTGCTCTCCAAGAGTAAGAGCTGTAGACTTCTATAAGTCTGATCGTACATGTGGCCTTTTCCTTTTGTAATAAATTGATAACAAAGTATCAAAAACACATGTGTCTCCTTTGATTATGCACTTGTGGTGTGTGAATCTCCCGGAATGGGGAAGAACGAAAATATATTTATCAGCAGACTGTCACTGACTAGAAGGGTGTAGTCAGTTCAAGCTTGTGCTGACGATACAGAAAAATGACTCTTTCTGCAGAGAAAAGTGACGATGAGGAGTTGGACATCAAGCCGGAGAAAGGCATTGGAGGCCAGGGGAAAGGGGACGACGGGAAGGATCCCAGGAGGCCCAAAAGACCACGAACCATCCTGACCACTCAACAAAGGCGGGCCTTCAAGGCCTCCTTTGAGGTGTCCTCAAAACCCTGCAGAAAGGTAAGACAGGCTTAAATAATCTGCTATTTTTTAAATATTCCCTGGTCTGCATTTGGTGTAATGGATATTTAGATGCCGACCACGAGCCCTACAGTAGTTTCACAAATAAAATTCTCAAATTAAAAAAATCTCCCCCACCTCAGAGCTGGGCTTTGAAGTGGCGAGCAGCATTCTGTTCTGTGTTAACTGAGGCAGGCTGGTGTAACGCAGTCCGCCTGCACCAAATGTCATACTGAGATACAGTAGGAGAACAGCCTCCGTAGCCCGGGCCCTAAAACAGGCGCTGCACCCGGGCCAAGGCTTTGAAGAAGCAATAACCAAGGGGTCCAAAAAGACCACTGCATTCATTCAGTGTTCACTGAAATCAAAGAGGCAGTGTGCCTATTGGAAAATGTGGAAGATATGTTAAGGAGTAAGTATTTCAGTGTGCTGTGAAGTGCTTTGTTTCCTTGTGCTAAATGCTGCAAATCTTTTGTCTTCGTGGTTCCAGGTGAGGGAGACGCTGGCTGCGGAGACAGGACTCAGTGTCCGGGTGGTGCAGGTGTGGTTTCAGAACCAGAGAGCTAAGGTGAGAGCAGCTAACACGGGATAAATTTGATTTTGTGTCCGCATACAACAGCCTTGTTCCATCTTAGAGTCCGGCTAATAAATCAGCACAACTATGTGTGTTAAACTTATCACCGCATTCCTTTCACAAATGTAGAAAAAAAAAAAAAAAGCCAAAGGAGTTGCAAATCTAGCTCACTCTTGCATTAAATGTCTACGCCCTCCTCTTTTCTGATTATTATCTTGTGAAAACCTTTGATACTTGACAATGAAGTGCTCTCAGATACAGATTTTGTGCGGTTCATTCGAGGGTGAACAGCGAGGAGCATCCTTTTTAAATTAAAGAGCGCATGTTAGTTTTGGGGGCTCCTCACAACTTTGACTCCTTCGTTTCAGATGAAGAAGTTGGCAAGAAGACAGCAGCAACAACAAGAACAACAGAATTCTCAGAGACTTGGCCAAGGTATGAGACAGCACAGACCCTGCGCACACAATGGAGGCTCATTGTCTCAAAGCTCTTTGTCTGGGATTTTTTTTCAATAGATATATTGAAATTTTCAAAATTCCAAAATTTTAAAGCCCTCTTTCACTCAAAAATGTGCTTTGCTTGTTGTGACTTCATTTGGTTGTATGAGCTTCACTGTGCACAGTCTGACGCTAGGAGGCTGTTTGTACATTCATCTGCTGTGCTCACCTTAAATCTGAACCTAACACGTGTAAACATGTGCGTGGATGATTTTGTGACATCACAACTACAAGCCAATCATGGTCAAGGGGGCAACCCAAGCAAGTGTGATGTGGAAACATGCAGCATTCATCGGTTCTGGATGTTTTCAGTGAGGGAGAAGGAGGAGACACAATTTAATGAGCTTTTACTTAAAGGAAGTTTAATTTTGTGTTGATTCTGGCGGCCCCTGGGACAACAATCCGACTGGCCAATCTTCTCACTGCTGATCTTGTTTGTTTTTGTAGGTCATATAGAGGCATCAGTATTAAATTAAGATTGTTTCATAACCAGTTCAAAACTCTTAACTTAACTCTTAACTACTAATAATAAAATTAAAAAGATAATTTTTACATGTCATAAAACATGTCTGGAGGGCGTCTTTTTTTCGTTTTTCGTGTCATAGCAACATATTGTTTTATATGTTGACATCAAGCTAGTTAGAAGCTGTACATGAGTTCTTTTTGGTGACTGCGAAACAGCACAGTGGAACACAGTGGATCAGAAACTGTGAGCTCTCTTCTCTACATCATGATGCGGTGTAGTCAGATGTGCTGTGAGAGTTTGTCTGAGAAACCAGTTCACAAATTCAATAATTACACGGAATGACAGATTGCAAACATCTCACTGTGTAAACAGAGCACTTCAATAGTATGATAGATATATGGTCTGGAAGCCAAACAAAATGAATGGCAGACGTCATTTTGCAAAGCCACTGCAAAGGAAAGTGCGGGGGGGAGGGGCTCCAGGGATGAAGCCACAAGAGTTTTGTGTCCCTCTCACAAGTCAGTTAGCCAAGAGCAGTGTTTGTGAAGGGAATTGTGGGAGAAGCCACAGGAAGGACTACTGGAGGTTACCATGGAAATACTAACAGACACAGGCAAGAAATCCAGGTACTTGGAGGTTGTTTCAACTCCAACACAAGCACCAGACTCCCTTTACTTTTATCAGTATTAGTTGTTTTTTCTCTGGCAGTCTAAAACAAAAGTGCAAACTCAGATCTAAAATTACCATGTGTGAGTGGGAAACATGTCTGTACTGTTAGTGCTCTACCCATCATGGGTTTCCCCTGTTCAGCCCCACGGTTCTGTGTGCACCCATTGTGTGTGGCTGCTTTCACATTCTGCCGACTCATCCCAAGTTTTTTCTGTATTTTCTGTAACGTTTTTCCCCCGTTTGCTCTCATCGCCTTGCAGAGGTGATGTCCAATCGCATGGAGGGGATGATGAACTCCTTCACGCCGCTGGCTCCGCCACAGCAGCAGCTGGTCGCCATGGATCAGAATGGTTACAGCACAGACCCGTTCCAACAGGGGCTCACCCCCCCACAGATGCCCGGGGACCACATGAACCCATATGGTGAGCATCCACCGACTCCACCAAAAAAAGAAAAACACACACCCAGTCCTGCTCTAAACACACACACATGCCTGTCCCTTGATCAACCTCATAGCTCCCCAGTGTGGGACATGTGTTCAGCCCACAGCTCCCCTGATTTAAGCCGCTCACAGAGACGTACAAGCGACTTCTCCTCCCACATGAGATAACACAAGCACACTCATAAGCTTTTGGGTTTTGAAGTTTCAAATGATTTTAACTCTCCGCCTCCAGTTCTGAGAGATGTCCTGTTAGTGATGTTTTTCAATGGTGGTAAAAACATGTGGTCAGTGAGGACAGCTCGAGATAAAGTGCAGTCTAAACAATGATTGAGGGCTGTGTGAGCTAATGAATCAGAATGAGAAAACAACATGTCTCTGATTTCTGTGTGATATAGGAAAGAATTAAAATGCAAACAAGGAGGAAGGGGGGGAAGAAAATCAGTCAATCAAGTGTTAGTCCGCAGGATGTAACTGGAATAACACATTTCTTAGTGATGTCCTCAACAAGCCCCAGAGGGACCATTTCCTGAAGTTCATAACTTCCTTATAATTTGCCTCCATTTAGTTCTTCTCGGTAGTAAGAACCCAAATCCCCAGTCTCATCACTCTCCTTTGGTTTGGGGAAAAGAACAATATTGGCAAGGCATTAAAAGATGTGTCTCAAATCACTGTCCCCATTTTGTGCAACACTATCATTAAGATCCAGAGTGTAATAAAGTTAACTATTCCCTCCAGAGAAATAACATGTTGAGGTTTTATGAAAGGCGGAAACAGTTGCTATTAACCAGATCTTTTAGGAGGATGCCCCTTGTTTACATGCTCCCTCATAGACCGCAATTGTCCCAGCGAGGGCAGCAAAAAGTGAGCTTTGATGATAGCTAACAAAACAGTTCTCCCAATTGTGATGACACACAACAGCAATTTCTCAAAGTGACTATTAGTAATTATAATTTCCCAACGCTGCCATAAATCTCAAATACAAGATTGCATTGATTTCAGAGTGGGGTGCGTGTTTTTGAATGACGCCTCCGCCACTGAATACTGAAGGCTAATCTCTGTATCGTCTCCCCGCAGGTAATGATTCTGCATTCCATGACATAGACAGCGACACGTCTTTAACCAGCCTCAGTGACTGCTTCATGGCATCGTCGGAAGTCAACTCCATGCAGGCTCGCGTGGGGAACCCCATCGACCGCCTCTACTCCATGCAGAACTCTTATTTCGCATCATGAAAGAGAAGAGTGAAAAAAAGAACATCAGCACAGAATAAACTGCCCATCTCAACCGAAAGCGCGATGGCCAGGAGTTTCTACACCAACACGGACACGACAGAAGAAACACCTCCTTGCAGTAGCTCCTGGTTATGTGCTGAAGCTTACTCAAAGATAGTAAAACCACTTGTTGTAGGACAGTGAAGATTCCTGGGGAAAAAGACTTAAATATTGTTAGAGATTATTCAGTAGGATTGCTTATTTGTCACAGGAGATCTTTTCTTTGTTCACTTAAAGAAAACAAGTAGATATTGAAGCCACTTATTACACACTCTCAAACCAAATAACACAGTGAATTTATACAGTGCATGATCAATTGTAAACTAAAACTTTTTGTAAGCCCCCCCTGGTTAAGATGTGGTGTTTGGACTGTTTCTTCTTTACACTACATGGATTTCCATGTTCACCGTTAGCATTTTGATCACTTTCAATAGGTTTAGATATTGTGTTAATAGTGAATAGGTGCAGCATGTCTGCAAGAGTGACTGTACATTTGTGTATGTATGAGAGTTTGTGGTGAGAAAGAATTGTTTAGAGGAGAAAAAAGTGGAGAATTCGGTGGACAAGTAGGATCAGTGAAGTGTAAATACTCTTCCCAGGCAAATTGGATGTGCATGTTAAAAATGGAAAGCATTCTATTTATTTAACTATAACAGGCTCTTGAAGGTGCATATTAAAACTGAAAAGCTTTATTTAAAAAGGAGAGAGTTTTTTTTTTTGTTGAGCAATTAGTGAGTTCATGAGTATCACAACTCATCTGTAAGCCTTTTTAATATGAAGATTAACCCTTTTGTTTTGTTTTTTCTTCAGCCAAGCTGTAAATGAGCAATGTTGCTATTTATTTCGTACAGACCATAAACCTTTTTGTTGTCATTGTCATATGTGCATTCTCAAATTGTTAAAGTTGCTAATTGACCAAAGTTGACTGGTTTGATGAATAAACAATGTCTTTCTCCTGATAACATTAAAATAAATGCCATTCAGTGATCATTGGTAACATTTCAAGTCCCAAATATAACCTGCTTTCACAAGTCTTGTACGGGGATAATTAGCAGATGAGACTAAGAGGGCGTACATGCTAGACATACCCACTGAACAACAACATGTTAACATTTGCATTGTGAGCACTTGTAGCCGTGTGTCTGTTATTTGATTCCAGCTATCGGTTTTACTTTAGAATGAACCAAATTAGCGTTTAGCCCTGATCACTCCAAACTCCATTTAGAAAACAAGCATTTTAAAAGTTAATTGCTCGTCATCTTGCAGACTGACCTGACAAAGTATGAATTCAGGCTATTTACAAATCGGCATCATTTTGATCTGTTTATTGCAATTTAATCACAGCAAAAACTGCTCATTTTGGGTTCATACAGCTGTAATGAGCCAGGCTAAGGGTGAATATGTGAAAAATGAAAGCGAGTTAAGCAAAGCAAAAATTTGCGTCGCCTTCTGTGTGAACACACCATTAATCCTATAAAACTACAAAACTACATTCTGAGCACATTATGTTACGGGGACACTGAGGCAGAAACATACGTGTACTGAGGGTGAGGTCGGAGAAGAGTTCAGGTGACATACCAATACAGCTGCATGACTAGAGAGCAACCCCACCTATAACCTCGGGGCTTGTCGGGCGGCTGCTTGGAAGTACCATCTGGGTGCTCCTTCATCTCTCTGACAGCTCCTCAATGTGGCCAGGCAAGCTTCCACCCACTGTCTTAGGAGTCACATGACCACGCAGACAAACATTGCATTTATGATCTTCTGCGCTACTATATTCCTGCTCATGCTCATGACAGGGTTTAATAATCTTTGCTGCTACTCCTGAGCAGAAGGAGCACATGAAATTGTCAAATCTGTGAGGATTTAGAGCATGAGCACAGTGTGGTATATGTATATATCTTTACTATCAAGCCTTCAATCTGACAGCCAGGTGTTGGACTTGTTGGCAAGGTTACACTGCCATTTATCTTCACTTGTCACACTACGAAGCACTGAGCAGTGACATCATCTGTGTCTGGATCCTGATTGGCTGAGATATGTCTCAGAATGCAAACATGAAAAATGGAACAAATCCAACTGACTCGTCATCTAATTCCTGCTTACTTGAGGTTGCTTTGTGTGAGTATTAAAAACCTATGCCAAGTTGAACACTCACAACAAACGCCTGTCTGTGTGTGTGGAGGCGGTGGTGGTGGAGGGGGGGGGGTGGTGCATATGTGTAACAATAAGCAGGACTTATGAGGACAATGAACAGGTTTGCGTCGGGTTTCTAGTATACATGTGGAGTAAAGTGTGAAAGACGAGTAAACAGACGTGACAAAGGCTCACATTTACAGTAAACATGGATGGGGCTGCTCCGCACACATTGTGTTTGCACAGGATAGACAATATGTTTGAACCTCTCCCTTTTCATAGCAGGCCAGGTGAGCTGACAGAGAGGTGTCTAGGTGTAGATGAGGACAGAAGGTCATGCCGCTGACAATGTGCAGGAAATGTGAGCGTAAACCCTCAAAAACCATAAATTATCATACATATTTTTTGACAAATATCTTTGCACTTATTTCTGTTCAACCCTGCAGCCATGCAGTCCGGATATATACTGAAACTGTTGAAGATAAAGACACAATAAAGCTTAAAGCTGATTTCCATTATGGCTCACATAAGATCAACAAGTCAGGATACACAGGTTGAAACGGATGAAAAAACAACACAAACAGACAAAACTGGTTTATGTTTGACTATTTATTAACCATTTCTTTACCAAAACCTCACTCAATTGCTTTAAGGATCCTGCAACACTGTTCCAGAGACTGCAGCAGTGTATAACATTTCTGAAGCTCAGTGTGGCCATCACCATTGACTCCGCTGGCACCCGGATAATCCAAAAACTGCCAAAAAGGTGGACCGCTGGTGGAGCTGAGGTGGGACGAAGGAAGCCTGAAACACCAGTGACAGCACCCACTTGTCACTCAGAGTAACTCAACCCTGCACAGTTGTGAGAAATTTCCTATAGAGACCAAAATCGTTTTTTAACCATGCTGTAAACATGTTTATTTCTGCTGTAAATTTGGGCATTTAAATATGGGAGTTTATGGAGATTGACTCACTTTTGCAACCTTTCTCAAGTGGCTGTTTGAGGAATTGCAGTTTTTGGCACTTCCTCATTTTCAGCCAAGGAAGTTTCCACCTAATTCTGGTCCATGGAACTCCTGACTCTAATATGAATAACATTAGCTGAACTGCATCTTATAGCAACCCCTAAAACTAACCCTAACAGTGATCTTAACTTTGATAATGAACTCTAACTCTAATACTTTTGTAAGAAACAACACTACACTGTTTTTATCATATTTTGGTAAATATGCTTCTTCACTTATTCTTCCATCCAGAGGTAGTTTCCTATCTTTATACTAAGCTAAGCTAACCGGCTGCTGGCTGTAGCTTCATATTTATTGCACAGGCCTGGAGTGATCTAACTCTCAGCAAGGAAGCCAGTAAGCATAATTTCCAAAATTCTGAATTGTTCCTTAATTTCATAATTCAAATTTCATAGTAGTGTTTCTCCATTTTTCCAAAAACATCCATGCTTTTACTCCAGCTGGCTCTGGGTGCGCTGTGTTAGAGGGAGTAGACAGGGTTAAAAACAAAAATACAATTTGCCCAGGATGCATTTTATTGACCATTTATACCGCCACACTCAACGTCCTTGTGCCCTGGCTTCCTGCTTTTTTCCTGTCCCCACTTTCTTCAGTTCAAACCTCCACTCTGCCAAACACTAAGAGGCAGTGAGTGAATGTAACCTATGTCACTGCTTGTTCTCTGCTGGCACTCTGGACCTGAATCGGCCAAAGAAGACACTTTGAGGTTGAGGTAAGTGTGGCCTCAATATGAAAACAGTCGCGCTGAAACCTGAGCTGAAGACACACACACACACACACACACACACACACGGAGAGCTAAGAGTCGGCCTTCAGTCAACTGTTCACACATTTACTCTTCTGCCGTTCTGGCACCACATAGGAAATGAGTCTAGTGACAATATTTTCATTAGATAACCAAAATCCTGAAATTTTCCACCTGAGACACAATTGGAGGTTTGTGATTCATTTTCTCTCTTAGCTGTTAGCTTCTCTTGCCCGGCCTATGAAAAACATATGCCACTTGATTTGTTATTCAGGGTAATTTAAAGCAAGATTCTCACCAGCTGCCCCATAAAAGCACAGCATGACCTACAGTAAGACAGTAGCTGAGGAGTAAGCAACAAGGCTGCATAACCCACCATCACTTCATCACACTAAATCAGCCAGGGAGTGAGTCATTCAAAGCATGCAACGCTTTTATTTTGTTATGGCCGTTGTTTTGAATTTACTGTACTTGTAATTGGCATTCCCAATTGTCATTTCTCAACATCACATTAACAACACACCAATATAACTTTTTATTTTTTTTTTAACAAACCAAGCCCAATTAATTGCCACTCTGCAGTGCCAAAGACACTCAGACGTTTGTGGGTTCAGTACAGTCTAGATTTCTTCTCATGATTTCACAGAGTTCACAGGAGTTCACAGCGAGTCCCCAGTGGGAGCAGGGGGGAGCTTTTGGGTGTTTTCGTTGGGCATTTTCCATGGCGTGTGGTTAATTGTTAAGGGAGACTTTTAACCAACGTCTGACACATATTCTTTGAGCCTTGAGGGGTTGCGCATAATCAAATGACAGACTATGCTGCGGTTTTGACCAAAGAGTGGGGTCACAGCCAAATACCCAAACACGTCCTCACAGCGGTGCGTTGCTTTATGGTGTCAGTCAGCGACACAAATGGTATGAGGCATTGTTTGTGTGCTGCAGGTCCAACATAGATGTAGCAACACTGGTTTATTGTTACTCGATCCAACAGTAGGAAACTATTTTACTGAAATACCAGAAGTGATGCTATACAGACATTTGGACACTCATAGAGGAGCATTGGTGATACACAAAATCTTACATTGAATAAAAATACAAGAAAACCACAAATCAAAGAAAGGTTCAGGTGCAATCCATTACATTCATTCTTCATGTCTATGAAAGAAATGACCATTTGAACCTCTCCGTAGACATTTCTGGGACATGTAAACATATTGCTGCAACTGTTTTCTGACCTCCTACCTCTGTTCCTGCGCTGAGAAAAAGATGGTGTAGGATTCACCTCTCAGTGCCCAGGGGTGCAGATAGAGCCCTGGATAGGGCTCAGTAATCCCCACCACTATTGGAGCCCATCTGTTTTGGTTTTCATTTTTCTGCATTATTAGTGCTTATTGGTACATGGTCTAGGAATGTAGCCAGGGTGTTTGAAGTCAAGGAGGAAGGTGATGCCAGGGGCATTAGTTGGAGGAATGATGACCTTAAGGTCTAACACAAGCCAGCACTCCTAACCTCCAGGAGCCTCTCCCTTGATGTTGGAATCCAAGTCCTGCACTCTCTCCTACCTCGGACGCCCTGGACTTCGCAATTTGCCATTTCATCTGGCAATTCGGTACAATCATAGTCATTGGATTTTCTGGTATGATCTAAAAAACTCCATCTTAACATTTATAGTTTCACAATCAAATCAATAATAGAAATACCACACTTGTGTTCTTTCAATGTATTTCCAGGAAAAAAGAAAGAAAGCATTAGTTTTCTGATTTATGGCACAACTACATTTATCTTTGATAGGGTTATTGTTTTATAGGTCAGTTTTGCACCCCAGCACCATGTGACACTGCACATCTTTATAGCAAGAGCAATAAGAATAATCAATCAATAAAACAAATAAACTTTATTTATATAGCAGCTTTCAAACAAATCAAATGCAATTCAAAGTGCTTTACAAGGGAATGACTAAACACAGGATGTTAAACATGATTTAGAGACAAAACACCAAAACAACCAAATGTTAACTGATCAGTAGTAAAGATAATAAAAGATACTATAAGCAATACAAAATAAGAAATACTGCACAAAATCAA